GCTGACGGATTTTCCCGTCTGGTTGGGCACGAGGTTGTGCATCTGACTCGCCTCACTTGAGGTACAAAGACCTTTAATTCGGTTAAAAATTTTACTTGATCCCTACTACCTATTTTGTACTATTTTTAAAGGCTTTCTTCAACGAAACCTATGTAAATAAGACAAATGACATTTGTTGTTTTAAAACAAAAAGCATAAAAAGAAAACAAAAGTGGTATGGTGATATAGTTCCTAAGGCATAAGCTAAAAGCCTCGTTTCTGTACCTGCCCAGCTCCCACCCTTAAAAGGAAAACATCTGCTTTTTAAAGGGGGGGGGGGAGTATAGGTGCAGACGTACGTGTTATTAAAAAGTGCAGAAAAAGATAATGCCTTCATACTCTCTTCAGACTTTTCCATTTGATCCACTTAAAGGTGCACACGAATCACCTGGTGATCTGGTTCAGAGGCAGCTTCTGCTTCAGGATGTCTCTTTTTAAAATGGCTAGATAGTAGTACATTCCATAAATACCATAATTTATTCTTCCGCTGCCCTCTTCTTCACCCACTGAAGGACATTTTGGCTGTTTCCAATTTTTTTCTGTTGCAAAGAATTCTCAGTGATTGCCTTGGGACATATTTTGGTGTAAATCCTCAGGGTTCATTTGTAGAGAGACAAAATTGCCCAGGCAATGAGACACATGCTGATAAATACCGCCAAATTGCCAAATTGTATCAATTCACACCCTTATCCAAAAATGTATGAAAGTGCTTACTTTGTCATTTATGCTTTATCATTGGATAATATCAAACGTTAGAAATTTTGCTTCTCTGATAGGTGAACCACTTTCTTTGATTAGCAGTTTCATAATTATGAATAAGTTTGCACTACTATTGATATTTATTGGCCATTAGTTTTCCTGAAAGCTGTCATATGCTTGGCCCAATTTTCTTAAATATTTTATTTATGTATTGTTATTTCAGAAAGAGGGTGGGAGAGGGCAACAGAGATAGAAACATCAACGATGAGAAAGAAGCATTGATCTGCTGCCCCCTGCATGCTCCCCACCGGGAGTCCAACTGTGACCTCCTGGTTCATAGGTTGATGCTCACCCACTGAGCCACACCAGCTGGGCTGATCTCCAAATTCTTAACATGTCCATGCTCCCAAATGGCAACAACTAAGAGACCAAATTACTTTCATGGTTTCAGCAGGAACAAACATCTCTCTGCAGCTATACCCACATCCTACTGTGTAGGTTAACCCTATAGGAAAGGACCAGGTACGTGATTAATGGGTACCAGGAATTGAACCTGTGACCCTTGTGTGCTCCTGCCGGTGCTCTAACCATTGAGAACACCAGCCAGGGCTGCTTCCTTTTTTTTTTTATTGATTGTTTTTTTTAAATATATTTTATTGATTTTTTACAGAGAGGAAGGGAGAGGGATAGAGAGTCAGAAACATCGATGAGAGAGAAGCATCGAACAGCTGCCTCCTGCACACCCCCTACTGGGGATGTGCCTGCAACTAAGGTACATGCCCTTGACCGGAATCGAACCTGGGACCCTTCAGTACCCAGGCCGACGCTCTATCCAGTGAGCCAAACTGGTCAGGGAGCTTGTTTTTTTTTAATTAAAATAATAGTATATGTTAATCTTAGCAAATGTAGATGAGTAAAAAGAATAAAATATAAGTCACCTGTGGCCCTATTATCTAATGACAACTGATCTATTTTGGTGTATATACCTTCTCAGATTTTATAAATATACTAGAGGCCCAATGCACGAAATTCATGCAAGAGTCGGCCTTCCTTCCCTCCGGCCACTGGCAGGCACCCAGGACCCGGGCTTCCCTCACAGCCCTGGCTTCGTCCAGAAGGACAGAAGGACATCTGGAAGGATGTCCGGTCTAATTAGCTTATTATGCTTTTATTATTATAGATTATTATAGATATACAATGTATGTATACATACAATTTATATTTATAAAACTGGAATCATACCATACCTACTTTTAAGATGTAAATTTTATATTTTTTACTTTTAAAATTGAGATGAATTTGATATAACTTATACCCAGTAATGTGCATAGGTCTTAGCGCTCTGAAGTTTTACATAGTACATATTGTTTTCTAACTTTTTTTCACCTAACATTTCCCAGGCATTAAATATGTCTCTACATCATTTTCAGTGTCTACATGGTACATTGCAGAATGTGAGAATATGGTGGTTCAGGAAAAGGAGCCTCGAGTTGCATTTCAGGAAACATGAGTGAGTGATTACCAAAATTCTATTCACAATTATCTTTTCTTTTTGTTTTTCAGAAGAACGTTAATGCATTGTCCTGACTCTTCTCAAGAAGGAGAATAAAGGAGCAATATTTTCTTTTTCTGATCAATATTGTCTAGTGTTTGAGGGAATTCATATCACTTTTCTTTTTAATTTTGGTAAAATATATATAACATAACATTTACCATTTTAACTATTTTAAGTGTACAGTTCAGTGGAATTGAGTACATTCACATTGTTGTGCAACCGTCACCACCATCCATCTTCAGAATTTTTCTAATTTTTCCAAACTGAAACTGCATGCCTTTTAAACACTAGCTCTTCATTTGACTCTTCCTCACAGCCCCTGGAAATTTCCATTTTTCTTTCTGTCTCTATGAAGTTGACTCCTCAAGGTACCTCATATAAGTAGAATCATACAGAATTTGTCCTTTTGTGTCTGACTTACTTCACTTAGCAAAATGTCTTCACTTTACTTTATCCATGTTGTTAGAATTTCCTTCCCTTTTTTTTTCTTTTTTTTCAGAGAGGAAGGGTGAGGGAGAAAGAGATAGCAGCATCAATGATGAGAGAATTATTGAACGGCTACCTCCTACAGGCCCCCTAGTAGGGGTTGAGCCCGCAACCTGGGCATGTGCCCTGATGGGGAATTGAACTGTGACCTTCTGATTCATAGGTTGATTCTCAACCACTGAGCCACACCAGCTGGGTTCCTTCCTTTTAAAGCTGAATAATATTCCATTGTCTGTATATACCACATTTGTTTATCTATTCCTCTGTCAGTGGACACTGGGTTGCTTCTGGCTATTGAGAATAATGGTATTACGAACACGGGTATACAAATATCTGTTCAAGTCCCTGCATTCAAATCTTTTGGGTGTGTACCCAGAAGTGCAATTGCTGGGTCTTATAGTAATTCTATATTTAATTTTTTGAGGAATCACCATCCTTTTTTCCATAGCAGCAACTTTACATCATTTTAAGACAATTTTCAGCTATTTTGGTTAGGCTTTTGTGATACCCACGTAGGCCTTCAAAACCTCAAGGGATGTGAAATTTCTAAAACAAAATTAATTATTTATAAGTTCCATACAGAACTTTTAGCAAGAAAGGATATATAGTGAAGGATTGGTGAAAATGGTGCCTCACTACTTTATTTCTCTTCAGAAATAAGCTTTAAAAAAGATGTATATAGGTGGGCTCAGTGAAAAAGTATTTTTTCCAAGGTGATATTTATGGGGGCATTTAAAGGGTTAAGGCAGTTACAGTTTTGTATACCTCACCACTCACCTTCTCTAAATCCTAGACCTGACCTTCATTTCCTAGGGCCAAGGTGAGCTGAAACACAGGTTCCCTGCATCCACTCCAGACCAGACACATTCTTGAGTCTGGAGAGAGCCAGCCCAGGAGAAATGGTACAGCAAATCCACCCTATCATCATAGAATTATTTTTCTTACTTTCCTATTTTATTTCATGATTTTAAATGGTTTTATTTGTTTGCCTCCCTCCATCAGAATGTAAGCTCCCTAAGAACCCAGAGTTATTAAGCATACCTTTCCTACCTTCATGCTGGGCACAAAATAGGTCCTTAATAAATATTTGTTGAATGAATAAATGATCAAATGAATGAAAATTTGCTTTCTGAGTCTTTCTTTTATTCTATTTAAAAATCTTTTGAAATTTTCTAAGTTCACAGGAAACCACCCACTACTCATATCTAACAAATTCTAAGATTTTAGCATATTGCTTCAAATTTTTCTTTTATCACTTAAAAAGAAGGAAAAAGAAAAAAAATATAGGAGATGGAGAGATGGCTCACTTGGGGGGGGGCGGTGTGTAAAAATGGACAGTCTTTGTTTATCCAGAAGAGAGTGGTTAATCTGCATCACTTATATAAACTCAAACTACAAGTCCCAGGCAGCACTGCAACAGTTTGGTAGGGTCTATTATTTTTTTTCTTCTCTAAACAGCCAATGAAAGGTAGTTTACACAGGTCTTGGATGACATCTGGTGTGTGTATTGGCTATGTCCAGCCTTAAACCTTGTTAGTGCAGTTTGGAACATGCTGCTGTAAACCAGATTTAAAAGGCTTTTCCTGTTCATTCGCAGCTCATTGTGCCTCTTGTTTCAGGGCAAGAAGAGTTGATTTAGTGATCTAAATGGACGCGATACTGAATTACAGGTTGGAAGACACTGAAGACTACTACACGTTACTGGGATGTGATGAACTGTCTTCGGTAAGACAGTGAATTATGCTGTTCTTTTTCACAACAGTGTTTCAGGTTTTATTTAAGATTTTAACTTTGAAATTTTAGTCACATTGCCTAAAAACCTAATCTTGTATTATTTTAAAGCACCTTTGGCTCAGAGAAAGTTAAGGATTTAAATGTGCATTGGGTCTTTACTTGAATAGTGTCTTCTTGCAGTTTTATGGATACTTGTGATTGAATATGTGTATTGCCATAGACTCTATTTCAAATATACTAAAAATAGATGTTTGAAATTTTGTTGTAATTGCTGTTGACTGTATTTCATAGCATACATAAGTGATAGCTTTATTATGGCAATTTAAATTTTAATTGAGATGAAATGTAATTTTCTAGTAATTGGTGATTTTAAAATGTTTTGTTAAAATCTGTACTGTTATGTGAGTAGCTAAATTATGCAAACCAAGAAGCATCCTTTTATGTTAATAGTTCAAATTGTGTAAGAGAAATTACTTCTTAAAAGGGTGGCTTCTGATACAAACCATGTGAAAATTCTGTAGTTTTTCACTTGATCCATAATTGAATAATGTTTTAAAGGTCCCCATAGACAATTAGAAAGGTTGTAAAAGTTTTTTAAATTATGGGAAACTCATTTATAATTCTATCTCCAATGGTAACACTGTTAATGTTTGGCATATTAATCTTCAGTCTTTTTCCTATACGTATTTTTGAAGACATGTTTGGGAGGATATTATATATACTTCTTGATTCTTGCTTTTTATCCACTAACATTATAACAAGGATTTCTCCATGCTATGAAACATTTTTCATACATATTTTAATGATCACATAATTTTATTGTACCACAATGGATGTTCTGTTATTGTTACAAATTTTATTTATTTTTAGTTTTCAAAATTTTAAATATTGAGATGAATATAAAATATATTTTAATTATATTATTGCATATATTCATATTATTTATAAGTCTATATTTAAAATATATTTTATTTCATTACTAAAATATAGCTATTAAAATAAAATATTTTAAAGCAAAATATTTTTTCTATTTAATTTTGTTTTATATGGCTGGAGTTTAGTAATAAAATGTACTTTGTAGACTAGAATGCTATATTGGACACAAAGGATTAAAATCTCTACCATCATCACTTTGAGGAGTTTACCTTGAGTACCTTGTAGTTACACACACACACACACACACACACACAAACTAAACAGGTTATAATGCTCTTTTAGGTGCATATTTCTTCTTTAGGATAATATGTTACTCTTGCTTACTTTTGTGGTGATTTTGCTTATAGCGAGTTTGAAAGCTTATTACCATTTTTGCCATGTGTTATTCATACCTTGGATTCTACTATTGCCAAATAATTTTTGAAGGAACTTTTTAAAATTAAAGGAGCATAATCAAACTTGATAAGTTTCACAACTTGGGTTAAAAAATACTATCATGCTAGGTTATAAAGAGTCTTTATATCTCCATAATAAATCTTTTGACTGTTTAGTCAGTCTCTTGTAGTTCTGTTATTGTCTTTTTAGTCTACACAGGAGGAGGATTAATTTTGAATAGACTAAAAAGATGGTCCTGTTCTTTATTTATAATACTTATAACAGTTTAATTTCATGGTTAGCAGTTATAGTCATGCTTCTCTGCATATACTGTGGCATATATGAAAAGGATAAAAGCATTATACTCCTTCTTCTGGATGCATTTTACTGATTCTGTCAATGGCACAGAAGTGTAGATAACAATCATTTGTTTAAAATGAAATGACCTTCCATAATTTTGTCAATTCTTTTTATATGTATCCTTCCCATTTAAAAATATTTTATGCCAAAAAAAATATTTTATGCCAATTTTGAGTAGTGTGACATTTCCTTTACTTGATTTGTATTGGATGGATTTCCTTTACTTCAAATATTCCTTGATTTGATGCTCTAAAAAATTGACCATAACTGTTCATATCCCAAAACAATTTAGCAGTTATAATTTCAAAGCCACTTGATATTTTAATTTTTATAACAATTGAGTTGAGACACACATAATTCTTTTAAAAAATATTTTTATTGATTTCAGAGAGGAAAAGAGAGGGAGAGAGAGATAGAAACAAGTGATGAGAGAGAGTACCATTAATCAGCTATCTCCTGCACACCCCCTACTGGGGATCGAGCCCACAATCCGAGCATGTGCCCTTGACCAGAATTGAACCCAGGACCTTCCAGTCCACAGTTCAATGCTTTATCCACTGAGCAAAACCAGCTAGG